TGATTCATTTGAATAAAATCCTTATTCTATTACAACTTCAAAATAATTTTAAATTATAATGAAGTCCTCAAACTAATTATTTATTTCCAAATACAATATTGTTTGCAGGAAATATCTCACAACAATTAGAGAAAAGAACCAAGGAAATAAATCAAAACCTCCCAAAGATCAATATAAACTTTCAGTCAATCTCCAGCCCCATGCAAAAGTATTAAGTCTTCAGATTACTTTCTTATTATGCAATTACATTTCAAACTTCCGGATAGTGTTTCTTAATCAATACTGATTTCAATGACGAAATTGAAACTTCCTCTGAGATCGGAGAAGTATAATTTCCGAGTTAAGATATCTTCCATTTCGAAAGAGAGAGAATCCCAATCGATATTTTAGCTCATGAATAAAGAAACTTTGCTTTATGATTCCAAGGAGAGAGAAACATATGGGAATAGCTTTATCTAAGAATTGGGGAAAAGCGATACAGCAATGCAAATGCGAAACGTATATTGAGAGAAATAATTATGAAATAGGAAAACAGATATTTCACCCACAAAAATGCTTCTCTCATTTGAATATGATAATTTATACACACACAGACCAGTTATTGAGTTAATAGAGAAAAAAGTTCCAGTTTTCGTTAAAATAATAATACATTCGTCGCAGTGTTAATTATTTCTACGAAATGAATTGTCGATTGCAGTATTTGTGTAAGTATATTAATTTCAGTTTGCAATATAAATTTTTTTTTTCGATTGGTTAATATTACTTCCAATGAAAGAAAAGTACATTTTTCTATATGTTTCATTTGATGGAAAAGGTTTAATTAAAATTTTCAATGAGAGAAAAGGTATTAGGGGTTAATACTGGATATATAGAAATTCGCAGTATTGAATTCTTTGTTATATAATCCCTGACTTTCATAAACATAACACAAAACGCTCAAAAGCAATTTACTTTTAAGGACTTGACGTAAGAATGTCTTTGGAAACAACTAGAAATTGTTTCCGAAATGCCTTTAGATCTAAATAATTTGAAAATTACCCTGTTTTTAATCACAATATTTAAATTTTACAAACATAACTATTACATATTTTAAATAAAGAATAAATTTAAGTCACTATTTAAGATTCATCACATTAAATTTAAACCTGTTTAATAGTTTGTGAAATTTAATCATTTGAAAGAGAAGAATGACGTAATTGTGAAGACACTGCTAGCTAGATGCATTAGAATTTATTTACAGATATCACACAATTCAGAAAAAAAAATATGAAAAGAACTGGTATGGCATTACATGACTATGTCTAAACAGCCTAGCTACTGTTAGCCTTAGGATTAGGATTAAACTCAGTCTCTCTCTAAATCAACTAGGGGTATTGTTAGATTTTTGTTGCGCCATTATACACTCTGTCGCAAAAAAATATATGCACCCAGAAGAAATTGAGCTACATTCACGAAATTTGGTATGCATGTAGTGTATATGAAAATAAACAAATGATTAAAAATTCAGAACAAAATATCATTTTATTAAGCGGTTACAGCTTGCAAAAGGTTAAAAATCAGTAAGTAGTAAAGCCACCTCTGGCAGCTATACAAGCAGAAATTCGGCGTGGCATCGATTCAATTAGATCACTTATGACCCCCTGTGGAAGATCCTGCCATAGTCTTTGCATCTGCGCAGTTAATTCTCCTGTATCTCGGGACGGCTGCAGTTGCCTTCCCAGCGCGTCCAGACATGCTCTAATGGCGAAAGATCTGGTGACCTGGCAGGCCATGGTAGGACGTCATATCCTTGAAGACATTGTTGGGAGAGTCGCGCAGTATGTGGACGAGCATTATCCTGTTGATAAATGGCACCTGGGCGACTTGATAGCATGGGTAGCACAATCGGCGTTAAAATATCGTCCACGTATCTGCGAGCTGTCAAAGTGCCTTGAAGGACCACTAAAGATGATCGTGTGTCCCAAGAAATTGCTCCCCACACTGTCACACCTTGTGAAATTGCTGTATGCCGCTCGACAATAAATGCCGGATCGGACCGCTGGCCGGTGCGCTTCCAGACACGTGTGCGGTGGTCATCATCACTGAGACTGAATCGGGATTCATCACTGAAGATGACACGTCTCCAGTCTGTCACACTCCAAGTTGCCCTAGGTCGGCAAAAATCCAGTCGACACTGCCTATGATGTGGGGTCAGTGGTAAGCGTCTTAGCGGACGTCGGCTCCTCAAGCCAACTTCGGTCAGTCGTCTCCTTATGGTTTCTCTTGATGGCACTGGATGTCTGGAAGGAGGTAAGTGGCGTTGAATCGATGCTAGCGACGTTGTTGGTGCCGAAGTGGCCACTCTTCTGATTGCACGATCCTCGCGATCATTTGTGTTCCTGGGACGTCCTGACCCTCTGCGACGGTACACTCTACCTTCTGTGATCCACTGTTGCCAACACCGAGCAACTACCATATCGCTCCGACCGAGGTGGCGGCCGATACGTCTATTCGACCAACCTGCTTCTCTGAGGCCTATTATACGGCCCCTATCAAAGTCCGTCAGCTGCTCGTACTGCCGCCGGTTACGTCTTAGAGGCATCCTAAGTCTCAATATCGTCTTTCAAAGTCATCAGATTCATTTGGATAGCCGTACGCGGCGCTCGTACTCATGCTTTTAAACTCTCCCAGTTGCGCAACTAATATGCGCGTAGCTTTTTTAGCCTTGTCTCATTGGCTTCGAAATTTTAATCATTTGCATATCTCTTACCAGACTACATTCTTGCCGAGTTTCGTGATTGTAGCTTGATTTCTTCTGGGTGCATATATTTTTTTGCGACAGAGTGTATATATATATATATAAATACTATCATTTCAATCTCATAAAATATTATATTAGTACTATTTAATTTTTATACATAATTATAATGAATAACAACGCAAAGATTTCTTTCAAATTGTTTTCAGTTTAGTTAATATAAAAAGAAGTAAATGAAGTTTCAATAGATATATTTAATGTGTTACATATATTAATTGTGAAACATATTAGACAAAAGTGATAACTCTAAGAAAAAATCAAAGAATTAATTCATCCCACTATTGGAATTGGAATTAGACCTTTTACCCCAAATCAAACCATGTTTTGAAGTTTTATAATTTTTTTATAATTTGAAATATATATATATATATATATATAAATAAAAGTGTGTTATTCTAGGACAATTTTTATCATGAAATTTTACAAAATAAATAAATAAATCTCTAACATCAAAAACAAATACTTAACTCATTATATTGATATATAAATTATTAAACACCCATTGTTTTCCATCTAAAAAAACAACTGAAGTGAAAAATAGTTTTTTTTTTTGTAAGCTTATTAAATTAAGCCACTTCTGAACATTTTTTTCTCTGTATATAGGTATGTATTGCAATAATTTAATGTAAAGTTTGCATAGACAAACTTTAAATTAAAAGAGATAAAATTATTACATTATTTTAGAAAATATTTGTATGTAATTACACGGATAAAATGAATATTTTTCTCTAAGTCTAATTTGAAGTTTTCTAAGTCTTTCTATACAAGTTTATATCACTAATATAATATGCGCTCCCCTTTATTCACAGAATATGCTATAATTTCAGCAGCATAAAATGATTCCTCTAATGTAAAGGGTGTTTTTTAGAGGCATAGAACTTTAAATTGCAATAAAACAACGATGTATTATTCCATTGACAGGAATGTTTTTGATTCGAAAGATAATCTTGTGGCATCGCATTTTAAATAGGATTTCTGGCATACGACTGCCACGGCTGGCTAGGATGTAGTCCAAGCTTCGATGACTTTTTCCAACATTTGGGGCCGTATATCGGCAATAACACGGCGAATGTTGTCTTCCAAATGGTCGAGCGTTTGTGGCTTATCCGCATAGACCAATGACTTTACATAGCCCCATAAAAAATAGTCTAGCCGGTGTTAAAACACAAGATCTTGGAGGCCAATTCACAGGTCCAAAACGTGAAATTAGGCGGTCACTAAACGTGTCTTTCAATAAATCGATTGTGGCACGAGCTGTGTGACGTGTTGCGCCGTCTTGTTGGAATCACAGCTCCTGGACATCATGATTGTTCAATTCAGGAATGAAATGTTAGTAATCATGGATCTATACCGATCACCATTGACTGTAACGTTGTGGCCTTCATCGTTTTTGAAGAAGGATTCCACTAGCCCATAAAGCGCACCAAACAGTCAGTTTTTCTGGATGTAACGGTGTTTCGACATACACTTGTGGATTAGTTTCACTCCAAATGCGGCAGTTTTGTTTGTTGACGTAGCCATTCAACCAGACGTGCGCTTCGTCGCTCAACAAAATTCGCTTATGAAAATCGGGAACAACGGCAACTCGTTTTGGGCCCATTCGACGAATGTACGCCTTGCTTGATCATATTTAAAATGTAATGCCACAAGATTATCTTTCGAATAAAAAAAATTCATGTCAATCGAATAATACATCGTTGTTTTATTGCAATTTAAAGTTCTATACCTCTAAAAAAACACCCTATACAAGCAGTAAGCTGATCATTTTTTCTCTTAATGGATGAATTACAAATTCAATGCATTTTTAGCAAGAGCTTTTCACTATTTATAAAAGGAAAAAAAATGACAATGTTTCGGAAATTACTTTTTCACCTATAATGTAATCGGTATTTCCTTTTGTGATAATAGTAGTTTATTTATATTGAACACGATAAATAAACTAGAACATATTTTTCAATGTCTACTATTAGTTCACACTCTAGGTAAATTTATATATCTTGTTCAAATTTTCAGTCGTTAATAAAATACTTTTTATTCATCCATTCAAATTCAAATAATTTTTTTAAACTTGTAGTGGATGACACATGATGTTAATACAGTTTTGTTTTAATTTTAATTTATTAATTACAGTTAGTTAATGAATAGAAGGATTAACAAAAATTATAGTCCAACACCATATATCAAGAGGAAAATTGCTTGTTGTGTCCCTGTAGCGCAATGGATAACGCGTTGTACTTCTAATCCAAAGTACGAATCCCACCTGGGATGGCCTACTTTCTAAGAATGTGATTTCTTCATGTATTATTAAGTACTATTTTATGGGAATAATTAAATTTAATTAATGAATAAATAGTAACAAACAAAAATAATACTCCAACACCATGTAGAGAAAGGAAATGTTGTGATTCTGTAATATGTAGATACATATTTATATTAATTGTACTTATTTAATGAAATGTAACTAAAAAAATTTTCTTTGTTGACCGACATAAGAAATGTTTAGGTTAAATTCCAACTTTTGAAGGGCGAACCAAATATTTTCAGCCACTACGAGGTGTTAATAAACAAAACATTTTTAGCATTTCATTTCTAGCTCCAATCAATCACGATCCTAAAATAATAAATATTTGTTTTTACTGCATCTCTCCTACTTCAAAACATGTTTTTCCCCATTTCAGACTCGAAACCTTTCGTGTTTACAGGACCCATACAAATCGAGGTTACCCGAAATCTCACTGCCCCCGGAAGCCGTGTTTTTTTAACGCAGTCTAATGTTGTTAATTCCGCCCAAGAACAGAGAGATTAATAAAACAGGAAAGTACGCCAACAATCCGTTTAATTTAAAACAAAAAGCTAATGCATTTGTGTTTGAATTCCATTCTTGTTTGTTGTGTGTGTGTGTTCCATTGTTTCCAAATCAAAATTATTTAGAAAAGAGTGCGTGAGAGAAGAATAACATGTTTGTTCAATTTTAAAGGTTGTGTTTTTTACTCGCTGCCTTGTCATGGATAAGGTCGGAAATACTCTTCACGGTCGAAGATTTCCCGGAATGCAGACAGTACACTGCTGCTATACACTGCTGTGGAGCAACCGTGAGTTAGTTCATTTTTTTTTCCTTTTGATTAATTAACTGCCAAATTCGAATGTGCATTTCAACAGGTGTGATCGACGCATTTTCTCACGAGTCGTATTAATGCCTTTATAATTGTGGCTATTCTTCGTAAATGTAAAATTAAAACACACACACACAAGAAATATAAAAAAAAATTAAGTCAATTCCTACTTAGATCAACAAAGAAAAATTTTATTTTAGCTGCTTTTTATTAAATAGTTACAATTTATATAAATATGTATATACATAGGGCAGAATTATATTAAGTGGTCATTAATTTTTATTAATTATCATTAAAGTATCGTATTGTCATCCAAAACAATAGTGTGTATAAAATTTCAGTTCAAATGAATGCTTCAAAACATGAAACAAAAAAAGCCTTTTCAAGTTTTGACACAAGTCGCCGAAAGGTCACTAAGTTGCCAAAAATGATGGCAGCGTGGCTGTATTTGTAATTCTTTAAATAATTAGTTTTAATCAATTAGTTTTTATTAATTATAATTAAATTACTGTATTGTCATCCAAAGTAATGATGAACATAAAATTTCAGCTAAATTGAGCGCTTTAAAATGTATTTTATTAACGATTGAAAATTCCACCAAGATAAATAAATATATAGAGAGTGTGAGCTAATAATAGGAACTGAATAATATAGTTTATTATGTTTTAAAGGTCTCTATCTCTTTAACTTACTGTTCAGAAAGAATTTTAGGTAGAGCGAATATAGCTTGATTTCACTCTATATAAAAAGCATTACTAGAAAATTGTGGCATTGTTGTTATTAGTACTGTGTATTCCTGCGTGTAATGTGCATTTTTGATTCAAGAAAAAATAAACAAATTTATGGGTGCTCGTTATGTAGGGGGAACAAAAGGTCTTGCCCTGATTTTAAATACTTATTGGGCTCAAACTATTAGAATTAGATATATATTTGTTTGGATGTAATGTAAATACTGTTATGAATGTATTTTTTATACCATTTATACCTCAGTAAATTTCAACGTGTGCCCTCTTGGTAACTCAGAAAATGGCTAGGTGGTATTTTAGTTCCCGCCAAGTGTTATTTAACATCTCTTGCACTTTATAAACTTATAAGCATGCAAACTAAGCCTTTTATGAAGAATTTTTACATATTTTTTTGCGATATTTTAAATTCACGCGATACTTCATAAGTTGATTTAATACATTGCCGAACGTGTTCAGCATTTACTTCACTCTAGACCTGCCACTTTTAGCAAATTCTTTAATGCTAAAAAACTGTTGAATATTCCACATCATCGCTTTACTGATTTTGGAACATGATGTTTTTTTCCATAACAACGTCAAAATTTACACTGAACATCAATGGTTGATTTCGCTTTGTGATACCAAAGCACACGTTGGTCTTTCTCTTAAATTGGTGCCATTTAGACAAAAAAGGAGGTATTTCTTACAAATGTGTGTGTGTGTTCCCTGAATCACTCTTGAAGAAACATTCGGGATACTGTACAAAACAAATTTCTTCTAAAGCTAAACTATCCAATGATTAAACGGCGTTTTAAATTCATTCATTATAAACAGGTCAATGATTTGGTTCACATTGTACGTTGAATATAAAAATGATAGCCTTAAAAACAGAAAATGTGTACGAAAAAAAATTTTTCTCTCTCTATAAATATAATTACTATTTTATTTAAAATATGATAAACCTTATGAACTTGCATTATTAAATAACATGAAAAGTTCGTCATATTCGTCTTCCATTATATAGCTTCAGGCAAATCATCGAAAACTCTCAGTTTATCTTCACCATCACTTTTACTCTGATACATAAATAAATGACCAGCTTTCGTTTCATCTAGATTTTAAATACTACATTTTATAAAAGAACTTTTTAATTATGTCAAATATAATATCATACCATGCTTATAATATCCAATCACAAACAGTTTCTAGACCTCAAAAGATAAGAATGTTGCACATGCACATTTCAGGCTTCTTCTTAAAAAATGTACTACGAACAAAAATAAAACTTAAAAACCGTTAAAAGTGTAACGTGCGGAAAGTATATACTTAACCGTTTGAAAGTATAGGTACGAGTTATTAGCCAGAATGTACGGCAAATACTTGCTTACGCGTAATTTTCTTTTCCCTCATCATATTGTCTATATTTTTTTGGTCTTTTAATTAATTAATTACTGAAATGATTTATGGTACAGTTTGAATCAATACATTATACGAAAAACTATCTACCATTAGATGAAGCTATTTAGAGTATTTATCGGAAATACTGTAGTACAAAAAATCGATGTTCCTTTTTAGGTTCCGTATAACTAAAATTTATTCTTAAAATAAATAAATTTAACCGGTTCATTTCCATTATTTAATGTTTCACTAAACCTCTATAAATATAGTGTTATTAAATCCGAATTTTCGTTGGAAGATTTATTTAAACCGATATAATTGTGAATTAATATTATAAAATATGTTTAAAACTACTTTTACTTCCCGATGAAAATGAATAAAGATATATTCAAAGAAGGTCTGAACTCATTTTGTAAAATTGTTTGTTTGTAGTTCACAAATCATCTAATTAATATAATTACTCGAGCCTATAGAAATATCAGAATCAGAAGTATTTTTCCACAAAATTTTAAGTACACATGTAGTTGAGAAAATAAATATTCAAAATAGAACTAAGCCCGGTGATGTTTATTAAATTCAATCTCTGAGTAAATTCCTGTGATGAGTATAAATCATTTATATTACTTAAAAATATTTCGAATAAAAATCTTTATCCTCTACTTTTCTTTTTAATGTTCTTCCATTTTTTTTTATCAATTGATAATTTACTGACAACACACTCAGAAGCAACAAGAATGTTATTAAAGACGAATCTCCTATTTTCGAACCATGGTCCGGTAACAAGAACAACACCAGTAATGGCACTCTCTCCACCACTCTCCAAACCTCCATACCACATCAAAGGGAAAATTTTGAGGTTTAATAGATTTGATGAGCATTGGCAGCTCATCGGTTTATCAAATAGATCTCATTACAAAGGATGTAAATATTTCACTAAATAATATTTTGAAAATACATAACAGTGCGCAATTCAAATATTTTATACAGGGTGAGTACAAATGATGGACCCAATTTAAAAAAAATTATATTTTCAAAATTACTGCATATATTACAATAAGTGATACATGAATGTAAAGAAAAATATATCAAGCTTTTTTTCAATACCTACTATTAGCTCTCTCTCTCTCTCTCTCTCTCTCTCTATCTATATATATATATATATATATATTTCTTTATCTTGTTGGAATTTTCAATCGTCAAAAAAATACATTTTAAAGCCCTCAATTGAGCTGAAATGTAATACACATGATTATTTTGAATGACAATACAAAAATTTAATTATAATTAATAAAAATTAATTGATTAAAACTAATTATTTAAAGAATTACAAATACATCCACGCTGGCATCCTTTTTGGAGACTTAGTGACTCTTTTGGCGACTTGTGGCAAAGCTTGAAAATGTTTTTTTTCCTCACGTTTCAAAGCATTCATTTGAACTGAAATTTTCTATACACGATTGTTTTGGATGACAGTGCGATACTTTAATGATAATTATTAAAAATTAATTACCACTTAATATTGTGATTCTGTCATATGTATATACATATTTACATTAATTGTAGCTATTTAATAAAAAGTAGCTAAAATAAAAATTTTCTTTGTTGATCTATGTAGGAATTGAATTATTTTTTTATATTACTTGTTTCTCTCTCTTACAAATGTTCGATGTGTAACTCTCTTGTTACACGAAATACGTCTGTGATGTTCCTCCCCTTGGGAGAATATCTCTCGGAGTATCAGCGAGAGCTAGAGGCGTAGGATTAACGAAAGAACTAGAATCAAACATTATCTTAATATGACTTTATTAAGATATTCAACTTAAACCTTTAACAAATTAAATTATAATAATTAATATGAGAGAATCTACGATGGCAAAATACGCAACACACAATATATATATTTACTTAATAAGACTTAATCTAATTCAAACCACTATTAATAACTGAGTCGCCTAACCACTGATTCTAATATTAAATAGTCAATCCTATCTTATTACAGCTTGGAGAATCACTCTGTATTGTCTTCTGCTCA